AAATGCAGCCCCCTCTCAACCCAACCCCATGAAAAAAAAATAGCAGATCACTGTTTTCTTTGCGGATTCGGGGAGATCTCGACAAGCGCAGTCCAACCCCATCATCAAAAAAAAAATAAAAAAAAATTGACCCGGTTTTGGGCCCAACCGGATTTCCGGTTGGACCACCGGGGTTCCAACCGGCCTGGTTGGGTCAGGTCCGGTCCAACCGGCCGGTGGCCGGTGCAGCCCTGGTGAGAACGATATACAGAAAGCCAAGTTGCGAAATCACACAGATGTCCAAGTAGTCGTGTACAAGCAGGGAGCACAAATGCACCGAGATTCCATCCAAATAAGAGCAATACAATGAACTCATGAGCCAATGTTCAAGCCCTCAGGCCACACCAACACAGTTTCCAATGTCGCTCCCCTCTGTCTGGCGCCCAGTGCCCAGCCTACACTACTTGCCTATCCTACTACCTCCGCATTCACACAACAGGCTGACTTCGACTTTGAAGACCAATGTACATGACGTCAACACCATAGCCGACCTCCCTCATGCACCAGGTACGTATCTCGTCTCCCCTTATCAGACCCTGACCACCCATACTTGCCTCCTTCCTGAAGACCACCGATCGCCCCTTACCCCCCAGCGACCTGCAGCCCGGCTATGGCTGCCTGCCCTCCGCTGCCCAGCAGCGCCCCTCTCACCTCACAAGCGCCCGCATGCGCCCTGGCCTGCTAACGCAGCACACAGCCTATCGCACAGCAACGCAGCAGCGTGACCGCAATGCCTGTGTGGGCCAGCATCCTCACGCTGGCAGCCCTTCCTCCTATATGGAAGTGGCAGCCTGTGTCTGGCTGCATGTGGCCTGGCTGGGAAGCTTCCAGTAGCTTCAGGTCAGGCCCCAGTGTCTGCGCCCAGGCCCAGCTTCTTTGGTTGAGGGCCTGGGCCCTTTTCGGTTGGGCATGCCCAGGATTTCCAGACTCGGGCCATTCACTGCATTTGCACAGGACCCGGGGTATGTACGTTGACAATGCTGCTTTTCAGTAGGCCCGCAGCCACTTTGTGATGTATCTGCCTTGCATTGTGTGTGTGTGTGTGTGCCCATGCGCAACTACCCAGGCCTGGGCTCAACTGTACGGCGCAGCACAGGGAGGCTCACGCTTTCTCTCAACCAACTGGCGTGCTGCAACTGCCTGAGTACCCACATATGAAAAATATCAATTTTTGGCCTCTGGTGAATATTCAGGCCCGCCTTCACTTAGGGCGGGCACGGGGCTTGCTGAGGTCCTCTGCCCAGAACATGTGCATGTCTGACAAGGGCCCTGCGAGGGCTCATTCCTCGCAACTGTTATGGTCCTGGTCATTTCCCAAGTGCAAATTCACAAGGAAAGATAATGCCACCCAATTGCGAAGCAAATGAAAGCACTTGCAAAGAGATAGAGACCAAAGAAGAAGAGATAAAGAAGAAGAAGAAAAAGAAGAAGATGTACACCAGCAAGATCAATGACAAATCCCCCTTCTCTCCCCACCTTCCTCCTCCTCCTTGCCTTCGCCAATCTTGTTCTTCTCCCAAATAATAATAATAACAATGAGTGGTTGGACCAGAATCAATATCCGAAGTTCCCTGTTACTGCCAGCACAACAATAGGTCCACCATAGCCATGGCTTCCCACTTCATCTTCCTCTCACATGCCAAGGCTATGGCGGACTACTAAGGGCTC